TGCAAATGCTGTCAGAGAGACACGACATTAATGCTATTGCAACATGGCTGACAGAATGGCTTCGGACAGGTGCTGCTATACCAAAAGAAGCCGTGAGTGACTTTTCTCTGGCTAGGTGCTCTGGTGAAGGCTTTCACTCCTTACCCTGATCTGAAGACCTACATTAATGAGTGCTTCTGTGTGCTACTTGGGAACCGTGCTTAGACCATGCAAAACAGCTAATACATGCCATCACTGTTGTGGCTCTCAGCGAAGCAGAGGGAGATGACAGTTCTGGAGTCCCTCTGGAATCAGAGAGGTGTAAAAAATACCTGAAAGCACAGATCACAGAAGAAGAAGGAAATGCATCAAGGGGATCCTTTTGATGAGATCCAGACTGACCTAGGAGACTGGGTATCAAACATATGTGAGGAGAGCAGGTCACTCGCTGCAGCCAATGGGGATAGGGATAACATCCATTTCCTACCTGAGATTGTTCCACACATAATAAGACTTGCAAGTTACTTACCACTTTGGACAGGAGTTATGGTCCCCCTCTTCAAAAGCACCAGCCTCACAGCAAGCTCAGCCACTGTTGAAGCAGAGTTCAAAAATATAAAACATGGACTTTTTAAACACGACAACTTGCCTATTCGAGTTGATCGCTTCATTTCCCGTCATCTTTCCTTCATAGAAGGAAATATGAGGATTTGTTCTGCAAAAGCAAAAAATGACGAGAAAACGACTGGATTAACAAAAGTAACAGATAAACAATCTGCATCCACGACTAACCACAGTGCTGAAGCCAAGAGAAGATCTGACTCTTACCACTCTGAGGAATCCGACAAAACCACAGACATTCCTCCAGCAGATGAAGATGTGATGGAAAACTGGAAGGGACAAATTCTTCCCCCTAAAAAAAGAAAGCGAACTTCATATCTCACTTCCTGCACTGAATGGCTCCATGTAGACCCATCATTTGGGGGAAAAAGAGTGAAAGTGGGACTAATAAAAAATGGAAACCTGCACCTACCAATTAGAGTTGGGAAGTCAGCAATCTCTGTGCTGAACACATCTGCATTCGATGCTTTCTGTCAGTGCTTATGTTGTGGTTTCTGTGACAGCACAGGATTTCAGAATGTTGTCAGGAATGACGGTGACAACCCCATCTTGCAGCTGGTTAAAGCCATTGTTACAGAGGGTGTGACCCAAAGGATATATTCGNATGGATGGATGGATGGATGGATGGATGGATGGATGGATGGATGGATGGATGGATGGATGGATGGATGGATGGATGGATGGATGGATGGATGATTTCTGGATAAAAAAAACTATTTTGTCCTATCAGTTAGAGAATCTGGGTACCTAAACAAATAGAAAAAAAAACTGATAATATCCGACACTTTGTCTGTAAGCTCTGTTTTTGCCTGTCATATCAGGCAAATATATTTGTATGTATTTTCTAAAGACTGAGTTTTGTGTGTATTAAATACAATACAAGTTGTCTCTCTTTGCAGGGGTCTCCTTCCTGACGAGGCTGATGACAGAAGTAGAACTGTACAGACCGGACAAGACAAACGGCTACAACAGCTGCTTTGTTACTAAACTGCTGAAGAACTACAGGTGAGAGTTTTTAAGAGAAGAACGTCACCTCTTTGCCATTTTGAACCGTTTATTGCTATTCCATTTATAAACTAAAAATACAGTTTTCTGTATTATTTAGTAACTTTATTTCATAAGAATTATTGCAATGTGACTTAAATTTAAATAATTTATTTCTTTATTTTTTTATGAAGATTTTCTATTCCAAAGTTTTCAGTTGTTTTTGCTCTGATTGCCTCTTGGACCATTAAACTGTTTTGGATATGGCTCATTATGACTTTTACAAACCAAAATAATTTTGAACATCATGTTCTGGAAAATATATTTTATAGTAATACAAGCTTCATTTGCAATAAAAATGTTAGGATTATAAAAAATGACTTTAAATCAATAGTTGTCAAGGAATGGTATGAAAGGATTTTAAGGTATCAATGAGTTTTTGGTATAAACCATCCCACATCAAACAATATTGAAATGTGGCATAGAGCTGAAAATGCTTTTTCTCTAACCTTATAAAGCCTAATTATCCTCAATGCTGATTAAAAATCCTACATGTTTTCCTTTTATATAGATCTCATCCTGCCATTCTGAAAATTCCCAATGAGTTATTCTATGATGCCGAACTCCAACCCTGTGGTCACCTTGAGAAATCCTTGTACAATGACTGGGAACTGCTGCCTAGGAAGGTAACTAGGACCAACACAGACCATATACTGCACAACTCTCACTTTCCCTTAACCTGTAACCTCATTTTGCTTCCCTTGGAATCAGAATTTTCCTGTGATCTTCCATGGGGTGGCAGGCATGAAAAAACACGATTTCCCCAGCCCATCTTCTTACAATATGTTTGAGGTGGATATTTTGAAGGAATACTTGAAATCTCTGATCAGCTTTCGCCACAAAAAGGGCCTGAAGACGATTGAACCGAAAGAAATTGGCATTATTTCTCCATACAAAAAACAAGTAAGTATTAAGATCATATGTTTGTTTTTAGTTGTCTAAGATTTTGCCAAAGCTCATTATTCTTCTGTATTTGCTGACAGGAACAGAAAATCAAAGCAGCCCTTCGCACAGACAAGGACCTAGTCCAAACAGACGTGGAAAACATCCTAGTATGACCCCTGTCAGGATTTATTACATTTTAGTAAATATATCAGATAAGTCATGCATTTGTTGCTTGTTTCCACAGGTTGGCACAGTCGAGATGTTTCAGGGCCAAGAGCGTGATGTCATCTTGGTATCAACAGTGCAGAGCACTCCCAGACTGGATGCAGCTGAGCAAAACTTTAGCTTGGGCTTCGTGAAAGATGAGAAGGTGTGACTTTGGATGAGTTTCTTTTTTCTCTAAATTCGTTTTTTTAGAAAACGATATTGTCAAAGTCCTGGTACAAATACTGTGTAGAACCATGCATTTTTAATAGTATGTCTAGTTTTAATATGTAGGTTCAGACCTGAATCAATCACTACACACAGCTTTTACATTGTAAAAAAAAATGGAAATTACTTTCTAAAAGAACCGACACGGAAACAGAAGAATGGATAAAGATCTATATATTTTTTACCTTAAAGAACTTTGAAAAAGACTGTAAGGGATAAAAACGAGGAATGTAAAATACATTTCCAGAGCTCTACTACACCACTGTAATAAAGTAGCATTTATTTAAAGGCCTTCTACACATCTTTATCACTAGAATGCCAATTTATGTTAAAGCTACTGTCTCAAATACTTTAAGTTTAATGGACACTACATTTCCTCAGAGGTTCAACGTGGCAATGACTAGAGCCAGAAACCTACTGATTGTGTTGGGAGACCCCAGAGCCCTGGAAACGGATCCAGTGTGGAAAAAGTATGATTCTGAAATTTGATTTAATGAAACCAGTTAGCAAATATTAGTCTAATATGTTTTTCATGCCACCTTTTCTCTTCAAGGTTTATCCATTACTGCTTGAAAGAAAGAGCATATCGTGGCATCCTAATTTCAAGCATTGACGGAGACGCGGAGGCCCCTTCCCATGCGCCGACCGACCCCAGGTGAGTAGTGGGGTCACTGAATCAGACAGTATATTGTATTTTGTTTTCCAGTGTCTCATTAAATAAGCAATGTTTGTGTCACAGCGCACAGCAGGAAGTGACACCAAAGGCTGCATTCAGCTAGAAGAATCTGAGGCATTCAATGTCGAAATAAACTACATCAAAAGCATGTTATAGTGTTTTATTTTGTCTAATGAAAGACAAGGACCCTAACCATCTGCCTTTTACAGCACATTTCACATGTGCAAGACGTGTCACTTTGCATCATTCACACAAAATTCAGCTAAGAATTCAACTGCCAACTGACTTACAAATTATTATCATAAATGGAGAATTTATCAGCCTAAAGGCAAGTTAAG